GGGCTGAGATGTATCTACAGAGATAAAGACCTGGCTGAAGGGCTTGCTCTGGACTTGCTTGAAGTATGCGCAGAGACTTGCAGGCAGGCCCTCACACCATCCGCACCACCCTGCAGGATAGGCAGCTTTGATTCCATTGCATCAACCACAGGACAGAGACTTGGAGCAGTTGAGCAACACCAAACGATGGCTGGTGGCCCACCAGGCTGGATTCAAATTGAGGCAGCTCCATCTCCACGCCACTGCCCTCCCGCCCCACTGACCCCCTCAGAGATATTAAAGGGCTTATTTCCAATCCAGCTCTGTCTGTAGCAAGCCACCTACTAGCTTGTGTATGCAGGAACCAAACCACCTCCCCTTGAGGCCAACCTGCAGAGTGGGTGGTAGGAGGATGCAGAGCCTCTCCTTTGGATGGGCAAATTCGTCCTCCAGCTGGTTATGCAATCCTACTATGAATACATCATGGTACATGGTTTGGGGCCCAAGAGCCCATACTTGTTACCTTTGGGGTGACAGCTCCCCTCTGGAATTCTGGGAGGTGAGTGAGCCCAGCTGTGGGGTCAGGTTGCTGACCCCAAGGCAGGGCGGTCCAAGCTGGTGGTGTGAGGGGAGGAGCCTGCGGCCCAGACTGGTTGGACAAGTTGGCAGTGTAATTCTTCAGGGTGCAGAAATAGCTTGAGGAAGTCACGCTGGGGGCTCAAAGCTACTCCCCTTCCCAGCCATCCTCAGGTCTCCTGACTCCATCTGCTAGGGCTCCTCCCACCTCCACGTTTCCGTTCATCTCCCTGTCTAGCCCTTCACCTTGCTTGCCTTGGATATGAACTTACGGTTTAGAAGGGGAGAAGGAAATGCAGATTTGCAACTCTCTTTAAAAATATTTTTTAAAGTACTAAAAATATGAGGCTGTAAGGAAACGAGGATTCTCATACATTATTTATATTGTTTGTATCACTGGAGGGCAGTTTGGTCCACCCCTGCCAAAATTATGCATATCTATATCCTTTGACCCAGCAATTCCATGCTTGGGCATTAGTCCTTGCATGTGGATGATAATGTATGATGAGGTTATCTGTTGCAGTGCTGTGGTAACATCAAATGCTTGGGAGCAGGGATTCCTGGTTTAATCAGTCATGATACATTCATACAGTGGAATTCTATGTAACCATATAAAAGAATGAGGCAGCTTTTTATGTACTACTGTAACTCCTCCATGTATGAAAAATTCATTCAAAAATCAAGAATAGGGCTGGACATGGTGGCACGTGTCTATAATCCCAGCATCTAGGAGGCTAAGGCAGAAGGATTATTGTGAGTTTGAGACTAGCCTGGATGACAAAGTGAGTTCAAAGACAGCTTGAACTTCATAGTGGACCCTGTCTCAAGACAAAAAGGGCTGGGGATATGGCTCAGTGGTACAGCTCATGCCTTGCATGCACAAGGCCCTGGGTTTGGTCCCCAGCAACACACACACACACACACACACACACACACACACGCACATGCAAGATGGCCAATAGTGGTGTGTTAAACTGTACTTCTTGTGTAATAAAAAGGGAACAAACAAGATCCTTTGGGGTGGGAGTAACTATGTAACAGGGTTCAAGGGTGGGAAGAAATTATATTTTGCAAGTATAATTTAAAGTTACAGTATAACAAAATAAAGATAATTCAGACAAAAAATCCATACCCCAAATATCCTCATACAATGGACATTTGTCTTTTGGGGCATGTTCTAGCATGGACACTGCCTTTTCTGGGGGGAAGAGAGCTCTCCAGGTGCACCTTAGTGGAGAAAGGAGGTCCTCCTCCCTGCTGGAGGGGGTCATGGTTCAAGTCCTTGCTCGTGCCAGAGGGACTCACTTGGCAGATGGCTCAGATGTTCTCTGCCTTCAGCAGCATCAGCAAGGGCCTAAGTCCTGTGTGAGGCTCACAGTATACAAAACACAAGAATTGTTTCTATTTTTATATTTGATTTTTAATACTTCTCCCCAGCTATAGTTTTACACTCATACCATACTTGTACTCTGTATTTAATTTTTTTGTTTCCATATATAAGATCATCAGAACCATGAATAGTTACTTTTCATAGTATCTGCTATAAGCATTTCCTACATACATGAATAGTCTTCATAATCATCATGTTAATGGATGCATAATACTCCTGTATTTGGTTTAGGTACACCTTATATGGTACTATGGTATCCAAGGGAGAAATTAAGGAAACAACGCTGTGAAGATACAGAATTGCAACGATTCTATTCATCAGTCAGAGTCCTTTTAAACAGTATGGTTACCTTATTATCTCCATGTCTATTCCCCAATATCCTCCTCCCACTTTGTTCCATATTCCCTGCAGTCTTAAGAGTCAAAGCCAGTCCACCTCCACTGTTTCAAAGCTATATTTATCATTATAAAAGTAATACACTTCCACCTCGCTAAGCTAAAATAGGACAGAAGGTGAAGACCTGAGCGCCAAACTCTCCTGTCTCCTGCCCCCAGACTAATAATGCATTACCAGGCCTCACCTGACCTCCGGCTCACAGCATCTCACCTTGGTTGCAAAGTCACGGGATGTGAGCTGCCGATTGCTCAGCCCTTAGGGCTGTTCAGAGGACCTGTGGCTGGAGCTGCCCAGAATCGGTCACTTGAGGCCTAAGCAGCTTTCTGGGCCTTTCCAGGGGGGCATTGAAAGTGTTTTCTGGGTGCCCTGATGTGCAGAGTTCTAGCCTTACCACCGCCCCTCACTTACTCACCATCTTTCTGAGGGCCCACTTCTCAGCACACCATGGGCCTCTTCATTTTAAAGGCCAACTCAGAGCTAACCAGATCACAGCCTCGCTGGTTTCCCACACCTTCTCCAACAGTGCAAAGCTCCTTGGTCTGGAATTTTCTTGCAGCCTGCTTTTCTAGCCTGACTTCCCACCTATCTTCTTTGAGATCTTCAAACCCCAAACAATTCCCCTACTCATTGTTTCCCATGGCTGCCCTAGTTTTCCCGGTCTCCTGTCTTTGTCTTGAGTTAGTCCTTCAGCTAGAAAGCCTGACCCATTTTGGCCTTTCAGCTCAGACTCCGCTTTCTCTGCTGTCCCAGCCCTACATCTTTGCTCCTGCTATCGCTCCTCAGCAGCAGACATGGACTGTGTCATCTAGGAGCCGCAGGTGGGCCTGAATGCCTCAGCTTGGTCCCTTTATTCATCTCCTCATGACAAACAACCTGGCACACAGGAGGTGCTGGGGGCTCACAGAGGAAACCCAGTGCCAACCCAAGAAAGGCTCTGTGATTTCTCTTTACACACAGGGTGGAGATGTTTGTAGTGTATTTCTACCAAGTTCTCAGAGAAGGGAGGTAAAATCTAACTGCTCTGAGCCATTATCATTAAGCAGAACCACATTCATGTGAACTAATTTCCTTCACATCTTAACAATTGCTGCTGGTCTTTCTCCTTCAACTTTTGAATGAGGAAAACCCAGTGGAGGAGGGACCCTCCTCCCTCCAGCTTAACTTACATGGTCCTGGGAGCTGGTCAGGCGCCCTGCTCTCTGGTGGACATGGCCCGAGTGCCCCCCCTCCACTCACACCTCAGTATCCTCCCCACCCTCTCCTGCCACCAGGCTGAGTAGTCACATCAGAACGCTCCCAACCCATCATAGTCATCTCCCTACTTTTTGGTCTCATGGGAGCAAGTGGCTGTGTGTAGGTATCTGGAGGGCCCCTGCCATCCCCTAACTGTGGCCCTTGAACTACAACCATGGTAGGGGTGACTTGGCTGATGAGTCAGAGAACATTTTGCCCTGTTAGATCCTCTGCAAAATTAAATTCTTCAAGTGTTTGAGATTTGTTCACCTTTTCCTTTTTCAAAGTTTCTGCACATGCTGGAAGTGTCAGCAAGGTTACTTGTTGAGGTGGAGCAGGTGGGCTAGACCTAGAGTGAGCCTAACTCCACAGAGGGCAGGCTCCAGGTCATGGTCATCTTGGTGCTGGACAGGGTCTGGGTACCACCAACTTTGCGGCTGACCTAGTTGTTCATCATTAGTTTATAGTTGCATTTTTATTTTTTTTTGGCGGGGGAGGGGAGGGGTTGTTCTCCACTGAGAATCTTGTGACAACTGGAATTAGCTTTTCTCCTTTAATCTTTTAATAGATTACTGCTTTTTGAGAGATTATTACTCTTTGAAATGCAACTGCAAGTGAAGTACTCTTTCCAGATGGTACTGGCATTCAAAGATGGTGATATTACCTTTGCAATAATTAAAACAATGGTAAGAAAAAGCTGATGAAAGCAAGACTCTGTCAATTTGGAACTTATCTCAAAGGGCCAACTTTAATAACTTTGTCACTTCCTTGGTCTAAAGAAAGCCCATCACGCTGCTTGGAGCCTTTAAACCAGATTGGTCATGGAAGCTCTATAAGCTCAGTAATTTTTATAATGTATCTGTTAAAGAAAGAAACACAATCCAGGCTACTAAGAATAGTTTTACAATAGGGTGGAGTTTATACTAATATAACTGAGGAGATCCTAAATGTATACCCAGGGGAAATATTTACGTGGTTGCTGAAAGAAGCCTGAAACTGTTTGACTTTCGACGTGTAGGATGGCTCTGTTGATGACCCATGCTCATCTGCTGTGGTCACATGAGAAGGACCTAACTCTGGTCAAACAAGTCGCAGGTTTAAATCCCATGGCACTCAGTGATGACAGCATCTAATTCTTCAACCCTATACTTAAAAGCTCCTCTGGGACCACATGACTCAGAACATACCACAAGTGGCTATTAGCCAACATGAACAACTCCATAAATCTGCTTCTATGAAATTATCTGGTTGTCTGTGGAGGTCAAAAAGTGGGCTGGGGAAAAAGTTTAGGAAGTTCATTTAGAGATCTCATGATCGTCTCTCAGCTCTGTGCTTCTCCCAGGCTGTGAAATAATCCCACAGAAAGCTCTTGAGATAAACTTGGTTATTTCATTCCTAAAAGAAACTCGAAGGCATAAGACAAGAGTGTCATTGATGCTTTATTTACATGCGTCACCATCTCTTTTACAAACTAGATTACGGTTTTAAATGGAATACACAAGGCAATATCTACAAACATCAAGGAAAGTTAAGTACTGCATCTTCATTTCATTTGAAAAGGGGAAGATTCCCAAATTGGTTTTGATCCTTAAGAAAGGCGGCAGAGTTAATTCACGTCAACATATGATTAGACAAAATCCAAGGTAAGAATGCAATGTGATAGTGTTCGCTTTGAAAGAAAGGATGAGGTGCTTCAAACCAAGGGGTGAACTGCTGGACTCTTAGGTGTTTGAATATGGCCATGCACCATATTGAATTCTAGTTTGTATGAGTTGTGAGCAAGAAACTGAACAGATAATACAGTTTTACAGATACTGTATACAGATTTTTCCCCATTCATGCAACTTTTTTCTTAAAAAAAGTTAAACATGTGAAGCCAAAATGCACAATACAATTTTTTTAGTACTTACTAATTTTTCTGGTGCTCCTTCACATCTGTTTACATTTCCCCTGTATATAATGCGCTAGGACAAGTATACAAAAGAAGACTGATTGCCAGGCAATGAGACAATTTTTGAGAAATGAGAGAGTTTTTTCAAAGCAGTTGCACAAATATCTCTGGAGTGTGGCAGAGGGCTCATAATCATTCTTCAAAGGAAAATACATACAAATAAAAATGAACAAGAGGAAACTATTCATCCAACCTGCATAAAATGTTACCTACTTAAGATAGTGATCAAATACGACACTCTCTTTAGCTGCTTGGGCTTCTACATTCAGATCTTGTTTGCCAGGCCCAATTCTGCAGGAGCTGATTCTCCTCTCACGCCCTGCCCCTACCAGGCTCCAGGAGGGGCTGGGTTATTTTGTACCTCTTCAGTAGTGATTGCATTTCTATAGAAAGTTTTGCTTCTCTTAAGAATTTATTATGCTGAATCATATGATGCTATCCAAATATATAAAGAAAAAGAAAAATCAAGAGTTCAGAGCTGTCAAGGTTTTCTTTTTGCTTTGGGGGAGAAAAGGTAATACATTCCCCACCTCCTCAGCCCTTGGCACCAGCAAGAGGATCAGAGTACCTTTTTTTTTTTTTTTTTTTTTCTTTTTTAACCTACTTTACTCTTCATGGACTTTCCCAAACAATTCAAGTGTCCTTTATTATTTAAGTGGATTATATATTTATTACATAGGGGCAAAGTCTGTCCCTATAATCCTTAAGCTCTGTACAAGCTTGGAAGCCACCTGAAGTCACGCCCTGAGATGGGGCACACCTGTCCTGAGTAGTGAGCCATGATCTCCTCCCTCCTCCCTCAGAGTGAGGAAGTAACACACAGGATGCTAGAAAATACCAGAAAGCACAGTACACCTTACACGTGTGTGTGTGTGATCCTCTCATGAGGAGAATCAAACTTGTGAAAATAATTTTTTTAAATGTACATCAGCATCCATTATGTTGCAGAGGATGCAATAAAAGAAACCAGATGCATTCACAGTTAATGGCGTATACTGTGCCCGGGGGGCCAGTCCTCACACCAGGACAGTGAAGGCTTTCCGAGCTTTGGTGTAGATATCAGGATCTTGAGCCTCCCAGCACCTCAGACTGCGAGACATACTCTCAACCCTCGGTCTCAGCTTCCTTATCTCAAAGCAGGCGGCTGGAGCAGCTTGCTAAGAGGTGAGGCGAGTTCTGCAGGTTCTTATCAGGACCCAAACCTTACTGTTGAGGGCCTGAGGCTGCTAAGTAATCCACTGAGAGGCTCCAGCTCAGAACATTATTAGGGATACTAGACTTTCAGGGGCAATCTAGTAGCCACCAGTTTACCTATCCAGAAAACAGGGTTCTGCATGTCTGCCTAATCCAGGGCCTTGGAACCTGGCTTGTCTAAGGGAGGCTGGTCTCTCTAGTGGCAGGAAGCCAGGCAGGGATGTGGGGACTCTGCACAGGCCTTGTTATTTGATTCTTGCCCAACCTTCTCCTAGGCCTGATAGGTCTCTCTACGATGCTGTTGCACCTGGTGTGGCCCTGGGCTCAGATCTCCAGAACACTGTGTATGTAAATGCTATTTGAATTATTTATAAAAGAAAAATAATCAGAGTATCCCTTCCAAATTTTCTCAGTCTATTCTGTGGTTGGCTTGTCCTCATAACCCTCTCTTTCAGCTGTTTCAGATTAAATTACAACATGATTCTAGAACATTTTGTAAGACATTGTGCCTAAAACCCAACAAACACTGAAAAAGAAGAAAATAAAGATGTCACGTTTCTGAAAGGAAGTCAACATTTTAAAGCTGGAACGCATTGGAAGGCTGCCTTTCTTGCTGCCTTTCCTGCCCGAGCAGCTCTGGCCGACAGTCTGTAAAACTGCATAGACAAGTAGCTAGTTTGTGAGTTAGTTTGCTTGTTTGAACTCAGGAGAGCAGTCTCGGGGTCCGTACACTGGAAGCACTTGGGATTCTCCTGGACTTTGACCCGTCCACCACCCTGCTCCCTGCTCCCCCAAGCGGCTGTCACTACCTCTGGAATGCATCATCCACCCAGGCAGCACCACTCAGGAAGCCAGAGAGGAGCCCTCCTGCTCATTCTGGACAGTTCTTGAATACAACAGACTACTGAAGAATTAAGGAAGTGGCTAGCATTATTATAAAGGAATATAGTAAGCAAGTCTGGCTCACTGTCAAGCAGACCACATGAATACGTATTTTAAAAAATCATACATACTTTTAAAATGAAGATTATAAATGTGTAGCAGGTTAGAAAAGGTGATATGCTATAGGTCTACAATAACCACAGTTGCACAACAATTTACAGATTCAGTAAAAGGCAGGGTGAAATCAACAGGGCCCTCGCTCGAAAGTGATGATCCAAGTGAGGCAGGAGCGATGTCCGACAATACCAAATGGAACTTTCATCACGCCAGGAGCTGTGATCACCACCAGCATCACTCCCGAAGGTGTTAAAAAGCAAAGGCGCACAAGGGGGCTGTGGTGGCCAGCGGGGGTGCCGGGGACCAGGTGGCACATCTGTGTTGGCGTCTGCTGCCACAGCGCAAGCATCAGCAGGATCAAGCAGGGATGTCTGCGCTGAAACCCTAGTCTGTGTTCCTAAGACCCATGCACACGGTTCCGCGTAAGTACTGTACATGATGAAACATGCACGTATATGCCTAATGCTTTTTATGCAAAGAAAAGTCTTCATATTTCATTTTGGAGACATGTGTACGCTGTGCTAATTAGAGTAGCATTACACCAGTTTTGTCTGTACCAAAGGTGTCCCCCACTGTTCTGGCTATCGAGGAGGGTAACAAAGGTCATCATACTTCCCAAGTTAAACAGAAAGCACCTATACAGCACCATAACTTTTTGAAAACAAAACAAAACGAAATCCACAGAAGCAGAAAGTTAAAAAAAAGGGGGAAAAAATAAAAGGTTCAAACTACCTTATCTTGTACTTCTACTGTGTCACTTGTACAATTGTAACCCAGGCTTATACAAAAAATCAATTTGTATGCTATTGCCTTTCACTCCTGTTCTTCTAGATCAGCTTATACACAGCAAGGCTGAAAATAGTCAAGGATGTATATTTCAAAAACAGTAAAGCTAGACCTGCCTCAGCATTGCCTTGGTTTGTCCATTTTACAAATCTCACTGCAAGTTTAACACTCACTACTTCTGTAAAGCAAAACAGGACACTTTTTTTTCCTTTTTTTTTTTCCTCAAAAATAAATTCTTTAGTGGCATTTGGCAATTGAGTGGATAGCTGAGCTGATTTCTTGCCTGAAAAGACCCTATTTTCTAGCCAACAGGCCAATACTGTCCACCACGTTAGCCGAGAACACCGCATATGACTACAGCCCTGAAGCCCCAGCCACTGCAGGGCAGGCCCTGAGGGCTCAGCCTCAGACCACCTGACTCAGAACTGGGAACATGCCGGCTGGGCCGGACGCTGCGCTCCTCTCCTCTCGCCTATGTGTGGTTCAGTCCTGGATGGATGTGCGCACTGCAAACAATTGTGCCATTGCTCAGTTTTTAGAAAAGGATAGTCTTCTACCAAACAAAAGAAAGAAAATCCCCCTATAGTTTATGTAATATGTTAGTTATGGAGTCCTGTGGGCTCAAAAGCTTGTGATGCCCACAGTCAGAATGGTAAATGGTACATTTTCCTTATTTTTAAATTTGCCAGGAGAAGGATGGTTAACATTTTAACAGAAAAATACTGCAAGTTAATGCATGTGAAAAACTCAGAAGGTCAAAGGAAAACAGAAAAACAACATCTAGAACATCCCACAAACCACTGAGATATTAAAACACCACAGAATCGGCAATTGGGGCTCCCGGTGTGCTCTGAACGAGAGTGGGTGGTGCTGCTGGGGTGCCGTCCTCCGTGGCAGGTGGCTCACCACCTCAGACAAGGAAGATTTGCATACTTTATAAAGTTCTGTTCCAAGGGCAAGTGCTTCACCCAGGGCAAGGGGCCGATAACAGTCTCTGCTGGGTTAGGAACATGGCGCGGATTCACAAGGTGTTAAGCTGTAAACGGTATCACTGTCTACTTGCTGAGAGCAGATTTGGCAAAGGGTTTTCTCTGTAGGTCTTGTGTCAGTTTGAGGGTCTAAGGAAGGAGAAAAGAAAACAAGAGATGATTAAGGGTTTCCAAAAGCAACAGGGCACGTGGGAGGCCCCTGCATTGGCCTCCTGTTCCTCATCCCACCGTCCAGCCCAAGAAATGTAGAATAAAGGCATCTGCTATAGCACTTAAAGGCCTCCAAATCTAAGGACAAAGCACAAGTATTACTTACTGCATTTCTTATTGTGTCCTTCTTTCAGAATGCCCTGAAGTTAGAAGAGCCCAAAGAAATGGGATCATTCACTTCGGAAGTTAACAAAGAAAGGCACATTAGGGGTGTTTTAGTGAGTCCTGTTACGGTAGGGACTCAGGGAGCTTACAGGGTTTGTTTCAGATGGAAGGTTTGCTAGGACCTGGGACTTTCAAACTAAAATCAGAAAAATAACTATTCTTCTTTGTTTTTCCCCCATTGGCCAGGCAGAGTAACTAAACTTGCTGGACCTCCTTTCTATTTGTACCCAGATACAACAGATATGACATGGACCTTTCCCCAAAGGCTTAGTAAGTTTGCACTGCAGGGTATGAATAATCTTGACTTCCCCACCATAAGATAAGTAAAGCATCTCTAAGTGGGCTATTTTAGGAATGTGATTTTTATATTAAAATTTTTCAGAGAAATAAATTACATAACACACTCAGAGCCAAATCTAAAACGTCTTGTTAACAACTAACATTTATGTTGTCTTCATCAGTGTTCCACACAAAAGACACAGCAGATGGCCTCCCAGAGCACCACATTTAGACAAGACTTATCAGATTTCATGTGGCCACTGAACCCAGAAAAGTTAAGAGGATTAACAAAAAAAGAGTATATTCAGAGATGTAGCTAAAGGAACTGATGAGACAGGCCTCAAGCCATAAGATCTTTTGTTTATAGTGTGAGCTGTCAAGGTAGTAAAAAAAAAAAAAAAAAAAAAAAAAAGTCTCTAGGCTAAGACGTGGATAGAGAAGTGGCAGTAAAGTACCAACATCTCCAGATTTTCTCACCAAAGGGACCACAGAATGAAAAGTACAGGAATAACCTCACACACTCATGTCTCTAGAAGAGACACAGTATGGCGCACACCTTCCTTGAGAATTTCTGCAAGAGCCCTTGTGGTTCCAGTCTCATCCACGATTCTGTCCTTGCTGACAATCTTACCTTTTGCTACTGATATCTGCCGAGACAACAGGACTTAGTACATAGACGATCACAGATCTCTGGGCCTATTTTCCTTCGGCACAGCTCTGAAGAGAAGTGAGCTGTTTTGTTTTTTTGTTTGTTTTTTAAGGCAAAGAGAATTATGCAAGAAACAAAAAAGCTCTCTTCCCATTAGTTTTGTGTGTTTAGTTTCCCTGAATGGACTTTTTTTTGGGTACTCTCTGTTTTATAAGTTGATGAGATAATATAATATTGTCTTAGACCATAAAATAATGGTTTATTAATTTCAGAGGAGTAAAAAGCTTAACCAAGTCCCAGATCTGTCTGTGAGGAATGTGGCCTGCTAGGGCTGGTGCTATGGTAAGTACTTCACCAGGGCCCTGAAGCATTATTGCACAGGGGCTCCCAGACACAGTACTGTAAAGGGAATTCTTTTTTCCTTTACAATAACACTTCATAAATCACAATCTAACATCACTATGCAATTAGTCATCAGGGGACTTTGGTCCCCAAGTCCCAGTCCTGACTTTCAGTAAGTATCAAGGGAGAAGTAGCAAGGTATTACCTAATTCAGACCACCTTCCTGGTTCCCTTGGTGTTAATTATTCTACCACAGAAACCAGCGCAGAGTAGGAAGGTGACACGCTTCACTCCCTCAAGAACAGAGGTGGAGCATGCAGTTCCCTCTGCAGCTTTGGTTGGTCCAGCACGACAGGGACAGAGGTGGAGGGCACTTAGGCACTCCAACATAGCATCATTTCAGGCAAGACAGACATCAGCCCTAAAAATGGGGTCGGGAGCCCATGTGGGGTAGCCTGATAGCATTGACAACCCTAGGCCACACTCTCATTCCATCAGCAAAAGGTCGAGGATCATCTGAGAGCATCATCATTAGGAGAATGCTACATCCCTCTTTCCCTTCCTGCAGAATGCAATGGGGTCATGGTGACACTATATCTTGAAGCCTCCTCCAAGGTCTTAGGCACTGACCTCCTAGGGAGGCCTGCAAAGCAAGCCACCTCTGTGCCCATGGGAGGAGCGAGGTCTAGCAGGCACAGAGGCAGTTCCTACAGAGAACACATTTCATAGAGAAACTCTCACGCCAGACAACTGAAAGGCACTAGTAGTGTGTGTGTGTGTGTGTGTGTGTGTGTGTGTGTGTAAGAGAGAGAAAAATGTTCAATAGGAACACAGTCATCCTTGTAAGAAGAACACCAAGATTACCACTCACAATAAAGACCATGACAATGAAAAAAATTCTACGGAAAGCAGCTGCTCATCTGCTTTAGACTTCTGGAGGTTGTTCTGCAGTTCAGTCTACACGTGTTTATCCAACTCAGTCAAAGACTAAGTGAGTGGCATGCATGTTCAGTGATGAAAACAGCTATGGAGCTGGAAATTAGCTGAAAAAGCATGGTTATGAGAATGAGTTTTAAGTAAGCTCATGTCATTTTCACATGGATTTACGTATAGCTCTTTAGCTAACTGTGAGGCTTGTGTGTGTGTCGATACCCTCCTAGTTTAAAAAATCAGTTATGAAAAAAACCTCTGCAAAGAAAAGGAAGCAGATAACTAACAGAATTACAGCTGTTACTCTAGAGTTACTAGGCAATACAGCAATTAAGAATAAATATGGAAATGTCCCTATCTCATCAGTGACTTTCATTAAAATGTTCTCCTCCCCTCTCCCTGCTCAATAAATAAGTTTGAAATCAGGCTGTGAATGGAAGGAAAATGAAATGGAGGAACCAAATGAATGATGAGACCCATTCTAAAAATATCTGTGGATGCTGTCATCCAGTCTCTGGTGAGAGTCAGTCCCTCTGTAATACAAGCATCTGCAGGGAAGACAAGATTCTGCCTAATTATCACCATTAAGTCACATGATGTTCTGAGGAAGGGAAACACCTCCAAAACCACACCAAATATAACCCCAACCACCTTTAATCTTGACATGGAATGCAACTGTCCCCAGTGCTATCTCCCCAGAACTTAAGTCCACTGTGAAAAGAGTGCACTAGGGTCTTTGTCTTTGTCACTCGGGTCTTTATCTTGGCAGAGAAGGAATAGGACCCCACTCCTAAACATGACATGGAAGGAAAAAAGATAACAGAATGAAATCCTCACATCCACACCGGCTACCAGTCTTATTGCAAGTTAGGAAGATACATGTTTGAAGGAAAGTCTGCCTGAAAAAAATAAAAATTAAAGTGAAATGCCATTTTCTTTACTCTTTAAAAATAAGGACAGTTTAAGCAAAACTTGCAACTCCTAGAGCTAGCTGGGCACTGAATATGGAGTGTTCAGGAGAGAGAAGGAGTGGATCCCTTAGTCGGACAGGCAGCCTCCTGTAGGCTGTGGGGTCCAGAGGTCAGGTGTGGGTTTCGGAGCTGCCTGTTTTCAGTTCAGGACAGCAGATACATCTGCCTGTCTGCCACCATGTCTGCCTCAATCTCAGGAGGACCAAGGGGACAGCAACCCATAATGAGCCACAGGGCCAGGGAGACAGTCTGGCAGCTTAAGCATCTGCCGGGGAAGTGCAAGGGGACAGAGAGACAGAGACAGAGACAGAGAGAGGGAGGGAGGGAGGGAGGGGGGGAGGGAGGGGGAGAGAGAGAGAGAGACAGACAGACAGCCACAAACGCTGTCAGCTTGCCATTTTAGGCAACAAATAGTTTAGGAGGGAAGAGACCAGGTAGGCACATTTCAGCCAGCCTGAAGGCCCAGTGTGTATTCGGTGGAGAAGCCTCTGCAAAGGTAAGTGAGGTTTCCAGGAAGCCTGGCTCCTTGTCTCTGGTACTTAATACCAGGCAAGTAAATACTTCACATAGAAGGTGAAGATGGAACAGGGAAGCTGGAAGGAGGTTTTTACTGTGAAGGTGACGCTTGGAAAGATATACAAAGGCACTCAATTACACACTATTTAAAAAGAATTCTTTTTAGAATCTTAGCCTGGGTAAAAAAGCACAACCTGACCTGGGGATCCATTCTGCCTCCCAAGAATGTTTGGGCCTTTTCAGAGTAGTAGAGAAAGCCTACCTGGGAGGCTGATGAGCGTCCCAAGAGCCTGTCTCTAGGACACTTCAATGCCTGGGCCTAGTGTGCACAACCTGTCTAGCTTCCTAACCTTTGTGCTGTGCTGACAAAACATGAGAAGAAGAGACCCTCACAACCCCTCACGGCACAGGCACAGGGACTATGCGGAGAGGTGCTGCCTTTTCTGCTGCTTAAACTCTAGGGATTATGGATGGCTACAGTAAATCTAACATGATGAATGCCTTTATACGATGGCAGGAATTACATCAACCAACATTCTTCATAGACTCAGAGACTGACATGGCAGAAATATACTATGTGTGGATTTGCTATTGGTAGTAAGGTTGCAGAGATTCCACCTTTTCTTAAGATACTCAAAATTTTCCAACTCCATAGAATACATGAAGTTTGGGATTATATAGAATATTGAAGAACCATTTTTAAGGCAAAAGTCTACAGGCCACTTTGATCTTCTCTAGTTAATTATCTTTAATTATAATGTAAAACAAGCTCAGAACTTTATCTGGGAAAGACCTGTGCACATATTATGGAACTCTGTCACTAACAAAGTATAAAGTATAACCCCACATTCCACATTGTATGTTCCAGTACTACTGGGAACAAACCCTCTGCCCATCTGCTGGGTGGGGTTCAGTGACCCTCTGCCTAGACTGCTCTTCTCCCACCCATCTGACTCATCCCATCCAGAAAGCTCCTCCGGCCCCACCCATCTCAGCTGTCCTGGGCTGAACTCTTGTACCTCTCACCTGGCACTTAATTAGTCTGTGCCCACAACGGCTATTTCCTC